ACCCCGGAAGACCCAGGCCACGCCGCCGGGCGTTCGCGTGCTCCGCGTCACAGAGGGCAGAGACAGCCGCCTGCTCCCCGCGCGGCAGCTCCGACGGGACCCCTCGCTTCGCAGGGAAACACCGTTACGGCAGCACAGCAACAAACCGGCTTTTACCAGGTTTCTTAAGGCCAAAAGACCCCATTTTACAAGCCGCAGCAACACACGCCCACGCTGGTTTTGGCGGCACAAATGTGAAAGCCCTTGGAGAGGCATTTTCCGCCACGTACCCTTCCCTTCTGCGGTTCTCCCCCTGACGGCACCGTGCCGGGCTGGTGTCTCGCCCCCAGCTACGCCCGCTCCGGCTCCTCCAGCCCGAAACCCCGCAGCGGCATTTTGCATCAACACCAACGAGCCGCCCGGGCAGGAACAGCCCCTCACCGCATGCAAGATGCGCAAGAAAGAGTTTCCCGCCTCACCTTCCCCACAGAGGAGTTGAGAAGAGCTCTTAAAACAGGCAACGAGGAGGAGCAGCAGCACCCCCGTGGTCAGAAAGCCTCAGCGCCAGACCGCCTCGTAGAAGAACCACCGCGCTAACGGAGCACCACGGGCGTGTCGGTGCCCCAGACCCGCGCCGACCGCGTCTTACCTCGGGTTTTGTCCAGCTCCTGTAGCATGGTATAAATACAGTGGTCGAAGAAGAGCTCCAGCACGCTGGACGACCTTCCCAGCAGGGACCTGATGATGTTCTTCAGCTCCTTGCTCACGAGGCAGTACGGGTAGTCTGGAGCCAACACAAGAGCAGGAAGAGTTTAGCGAGGGCCAGTTCGCCAGACTTTTGGCTGCAGCCGCAAGGAGAAGCTGGCCCGGCGCGCGAGGCGGTCGCAGAGAAGCACCTTGTCCTCATACACCGCACGGTCAACAAGCGACTCCTTTCTCAGTTCTTCCACACTAGGCGCATCTAGTCCAGCAATAAAGGGTTGCTTTCCGTTAAATGTTGATACTGCAGGACACACACAGGTTTTGAGACGATATCCTGCTCTTTTACCCATCGCCACCCCTAGTAACAAGTGCTCAAAGCAAGCGCAGACCGACGCATCGCGCGTAAAAGGACAATCCAGCCGGGATGTCCCTTTTGAAGGTGAGCGCGGATACCTGCGGGCAGATTCCCCAATTCCACAACAGTAGAAACAGGTCGTGGGTCCTTACGGAAAAGGGGCGACTACAGAAAGTCTCCAATTTGCCAACCGTGTGGACAATTTTACTGTCTTACAGTCAAGGAAAGTCAATCGTAGCGATGTCCAGAATCACGTAAATAATCCCCGTTTTATTTGTTGAATAAAGAGCAGCCGCGTGCCTTTTCTTTTACCAAGTTTCCTAAGACAGTTTTGGCACAGAAGAAAAACTGTTTGGGGGGGGGGGGGGAGCCAAGGGAAAGCCCAAAC